TCGATTCATGACTGACTTGGCAGATTTTCCCACAAACATGACCCAGTCTGTCCTGCTATTCAGCCCATAGTTGGCAGGAAGATCCATACCTACCCAAGAGTATTTGTGCGTAAGTGAATGCAACTGGAATTCGAACTCGGCACTCCGATTTCTCATTCCGAGCCGTTATCCATTACACCACAACTATTACTACTTAATTTTGTGAAGACGAGACACCAAAGATGAAAGCTGTCATCACGTTTTCGTCATTTGTCAATACACGTCAAACACGTAAACATGGCTACTGTCGCTTAAAAACACAGCTACTGTTTGTTTTAAAAATGCATTGCTGTGTTATTTTAAACTTAAAATAAATAATATTTGTTTGAAACCAGATTAATTATACTTTAAATCAGCTCAAATAAAGTTTCACAAAAGTATTTTATTTTTGGAAGATTTTTTTTAATAAAGAGAATTACATTGCAATGAAAGACGAGTAATAAAGCTATTTTAGCAAAAAAAAAAAATGAAAATCGATTCCAATCAAGATAATTTCAATATCTATATATTTGCCTTACTGGAAATCGCAAATTTAGTTTTAATTAAAGCTAAAATGAAAATCTTCACGAAAGCTTTATCATTTTTAAAAATTCATTTGAAATCTTAGGTATCACGAATTAATAGAGTTACCTACATTAGAATGATGAAGCCACTGGGCGTGATAAGCCTTAAAAAGACTAAACACAGAAATATCCGCAGATGAGGGTAGAAAGAGAGAGAGCCATTTCCACACTGTCAGATATCAGATCATTGCAAAATTTCTTACCTGATTTTCATTGTTAATATAAAAAAAAACGGTAACTTGACACCGGCATTTGTTTTGGCGCCAATTTCTACTGTGTTCCCGATTGAAATCTTGCATCGTTCAGTTGCGAGTCAGACTTTGTTGAATGTTGACGTTTTATCCACAAATGGATGCCTTAAAGATGGCGGATGAAAAGTTGCATATTACTCTCTGCTCTCCATCGTGGAGAATAAACCAAAGATTTCGACGGAAGGAAGAGATTGCTAAGAGTTTGAAAATCGAAATCTCAACTGCTTTTCGCCATTTTAAGAGACTTGGGTTCGTTTCCAAACTTGACTCGTAGGTGACACATTTCCCTGATGGAACAGAAAAAGATTGATTGTGTTTCCCCTGCGATTTCTCTGCCGCTGCTTGACAGAATTGTCACAGGCGATGAAAAATGGATCGTTTATGATAACGTTCGACGAAAAAACGAGATGGAGACAAGTTTGTGAGCGAACAGAAAGCGTGGTTAAGGTATTGCTGTCCGTTTGGTGGAATAATTCACTTCAAGCTTCTTCCAACCGGCTAAACAATAACTGCAAAGAAGTTTTGCGATCAACTCACCAATCACAATGCGGTTATTCAAGAAAAAACGGCAGATTTTGACAAATCGAAAAGGTGGCATTTTCCAACGCAATACCACATATTGCAAAACAGACCTTGCAGAAACTTGAAACGGGAAACCGTCCAGCACCCACTGTATTCTTCTTACTTGGCTCCTTCGGTTGATTGGTTGATTTTGTTTGGCTGTAATCTATGGGTTATTGTTATGGGACCTTACCCATAATAACATAATGGACTATTCCATACGTAATAAATACTGCGCCTCAAGAGGAAGCAGAGAGTTTCCGTCTGAAGTCTAAAGTTCAGTTTGAAGTCTTGAGTGAGGTCCGTCAGGAGTCTGTCAGTCAGTCAGAGCAAGTCAGTCAGTCGAGTCAGAGGCAGTCCGAAACAGAGTCGCGTTCAGACAATTACTACTAAACCTGATTGTTCGTACTAACACTTTCTACTTCTCTGTGTATATTCCTGTTTGTAATATATCTGTGTTATTCCATATCCGTATTCGAGTTCTTCTTTATTGGTTCTACCTTGGACCATCACCCGTGGTACAAGGAACCGGACCAGAACTGTTATTTAATGCAGAACTCTAAATATTTTGAACACTTTTATGTTTCCAACTAAATATATTTTGAACGCAATTGTATTCCTTCAACTATAGATAAAATGTATTGTCGGTCATTTTGCTATAAAATTGCCGGTAATTACATAAAAAGGTATTGCTGGTATTTTTACTATAAAAATGTATTTTTATACTTTCATAGTGCTTTCTTTTTGTTTGAGGGTTCACTATTTGCCCATAGCTAGGACCCTAACAGATGCTACCACCTTGGGTCAGGGTAAACCTGGGAACGGCAGCAACATTTAGATTTCTATTTGTTCTGGTCTCTATAAAACAATTTAAATGACAAAAAAAATTGACTCAGCACAGTCTACGAAAAATATGTCACAACCTTCTTTCAACAAAAACCATTGAGTTTCTACGAAAATGGCATCAACAGGTTTGTAGGACGACGTGAGACAGTTGTTAAAAACAATGGAGATTATGACTATTAATTATTTTTTTGTATGTAATATTTTGTTTTTAATTTTCGCATCGGACAAGAACTTTTGCAGTGATTTAATATTTAGTCTAATACGATGGGGAGAAACCCCCAAAAATCGAAAGCACATGACAGAATCATCTTTGGACTCAAGAGCTGATTCTCTTGTCATTGGAACGTTTTCCCGAATAGAAACACCAAGGCTCTACATATGTACCTTAGAATCCTTGCAACAAAGAGACAGATATCTTGGTATATAGAATTCACTAATAAGCGATAAAAGAGTTTAAATTAATTCTGTGTAGCACTAAGATAGCTGAAGAACGTTTCAAGAGAAAAGATTCCACAATCCATAAATTGGAATACCACGAATGTTTGAGAAAGAAATTTGAGTGGCTTAGTTGTTTTCTTACTGACTGGTTTAATATACACTATTTCTGGGTATTTTAAACGTAAAGCAATCATTTTTTTACCAGTGCTCATATTCAGTTCGACATTCTAACCACCTGAAGAAGACCGGGGCATACAACGAAACGTTGTAATAAATATGGCGACAAAGACGAGGACAATAGTCCGAATAATGTAAATAGTGTACATAATACTTCATCTCAGAAATATAAACAGATACTGGCTTAATATAGTTATTTACTAGCTTAGAAGCCGCCCTTAAGGCGGACTTTAGGCTATCCCTGTGAAGTGGGAGGCTTTTGGGCCTTCGGTATTTTACCTTCAGCGTCCTATATACGTAAAGTTATAAAAATTTAGAAATAATAAAATTATTTTACCTTTTACCTTAAGTCGGCATAATCTTTCTTCGTATACGCAACCGATCTCTGTTCCATTAATTTTGGGCGCAATTATAATTTCTTTTAAAATCACCATTCTTTATGATCCCATTATATAAAGTCACTCTTAAAAGACATTGCTATGTAATATTTCGAATAGGTCACAGTATGCTTGCTAGAAAAAGGAAAATGAAGATATGAGGAAAGTGCCGTGCATCGCTTAGGTTTTAATTAAGGTTTAATGCGACCATATCAACTGAAATTGTGACGAAAAGGAAAATTAAAGTTAATCATTTAACACTAGGATGGCCGAGAGGTCGTTTTCGACACCTGCAAATTTTCAACAAATTACTATAGAATAACTAGTTTTGGTTCGATGCTGAGGCTTATGGACAATTATTGAATTTTAGCAAAGATGCTTAACAGACTTAATTCTTTAAAAAATATTCAGTGGAATAGCTGATATTTGAGGTTTTACCTTGAATGCCCGAGGTGTCGTTTTTGACACCAAGGCTATTTATAGGGTAAATGCAGTGAAAATTTTCTCACAAGCAATAATACTTGTGTTTATGCCCCCTATCTATCTATACACACACACACATAATATATATATATATATATATGTGTGTGTGTGTGTGTGTATATATATATATATATATAATCACTTTCTTTCAGTATGAGGTATACTAATATTTGTGAATTTCTTTTCAGACTTGTTATTCCTGACTTGAATATATTAGAGATGGCTGCTTCACGGCGTAATGTAAATAAAGATGTCAAAGAAGCTGGTCATCTTAATAAAGAATTGTTTTAAATCTTTCACTTTGTTCTATAGTTAAATTTCCCTTTAAATGAGTTATTTATTTCATTTTTAATTTCGTGTAACTACAGTAGTTACTACTTGTTACTTCAGGTTGTTTATGATTCGCCGAGATCAAAAAAATGGACGGACAGACATACACTGCGCCTTATTTATATAGATAATTGTAGCAATCATAGAAATTCTATATTTTAATAGATTGCAGTAGAAAAACATCTTCAGCAATTAAGAACTTTGTACTGAGATTTTTTCTTTATCATTTTCTATAAGTTGATTTCAGCAACAATGGAATCCTTTGTAGCACCGTTTCTCAACTAGTGTTCCCCAGAACCCTAGGCTTCCACAAGAGGTCACTAAGCAGGGATCTATGGGAAACAGTGATAAATAGGCTAATGCATTTTTGAGTAGTTTTGTTTAATTTTACATTAAAATTGTTACTATACATATAGGGTATGTTCAAAAATCCTTGGTTATTATAATAAAGGCTTCAACCTTTTTTTATTATTTAAAATTATAATCATAATAAGGAATATATTTAGCAATGTCTATATGGCATCTGTGTGAAGCTTCCTTCACTGGTTAGTGGAAAGAACCTGTACGTGACGGACTCGTGTATCATTGAGTGACTCACTCAAGGACGGAACACATGCATGGCGTCCATATATTATGTTTACTACGTGAAGCATAATAAAAATGTAAAAGATATAAATATTAGTATATATGGAATGTAATAATTTTTATGCAGGGGTTCCTGAAATAGGAAAACTATTTCAAGGGTGGCACAAGGGTAATAAAGTTGAGAAACGCTGGTCTAAGTCAATGCAAATCAGCCGGAAGGAGGCTAAGAGTAAAATATCACGTGACATCAGGGTTGTCTACAACTGTATGCAGACAAAATTTTTTAAATTATTCTTATTTGTAGAAATTTATTTTACGCGTTTTACATTTTTTTCTTTCGTGTTTTCTTCATGAATAATTTATTTTCTTTCCCTGAGCCTTTTTTTCACATTCTTTTTTTTTTTTTAAATATTTTTCATTCTCACATTTTTTTCACATTCATTTTATTTATCTTATCTTCCGTCCCCTTGTTTTGTTATGTATCCTTTTTTTTTCTATCTCTCTTTCATACATTAATCGCCATTCCTTTCTTTCTTCCTTCTTTCCTTTTTCTTTCTTTCTTCATAAAATGTTTTATTTCTTTTTCTACTTCTTTCTTTCTTATATCTTTTTATTTTCCTTCTTTCTTCGTTTCTTTTATTTCACCTTTCTTTCTTTTCTTTTCTTTTCTTTTTTCTTTATTACTTTTTCTTTCTTTCTTTCTTTCTTTCTTTCTTTCTTTCTTTCCGCAGTTTCATTTCTTTACTACTTCTTTCTTCATTCCTTCTTTATTTCTTTCTTTTCTTTCTTCTTTTCTTTCTTTTCTGTTCGCTTTTTACTCAGTTTCATTCCTTCGTTATCTTTCTTTCTATCTTTCTTTCTCCCTTGCCTCTCCTTTTTCTTTCCTTTCTTTTTCTTTCCCTGTTTCTTTTATTTCTTATTTCTTTCTCCTTTTCCTTCCATTCATCTTGCTTTTCTTTCTTTTCTTTTCCTTTTTTTCTTATTTCTTGTCTGGTTTCGTTCCTTTTTTTAACTAATAATTTCTCTTTTTTTTCTTTACAACTTCCTTTTTTCGTTCGTTTCTTTCTTTCCTTCCATTTTCCTTCCATTCTTTCTTCCTTTTTCTTCTATCTCTCCGATTTTTTCATTATGACTTCCTTCGTTCCTTCCTTCGTTGGTTCGTTGGTTCCTTCCTTCCTTCCTTCCTTCCTTCCTTCCTTCCTTCCTTCCTTCCTTCCTTCCTTCTCCTCCGTCCATCCGCTACGGTTTATTAATTTCCCCTATTTCTTTCTTTCTTTCTTTCTTTCTTTCTTTCTTTCTTTCTTTCTATTCTTACCTTTCCTTCTTTCTTTTTTTTCATCTATCCCCCGCCGATATGATTCATTAATTCTTTTCCTTTTTGTTTCGTTTATTTTTACTTTTTTATTCCTTTTTCTTTCTAACCCTCTTCTTTTCGTTCTTTCTTCCTTTCCTATTTACTTACATTTCATCTTTGAAACCGTTATGAGTAATTTTTATCTCTTTCGTTCTTTCTTTCTTTCTTTCTTTCTTTCTTTCCTTCTCTCTTTCCTCCATTTCCTTCTTTCCTTATTTCTTTCTTTCTTTCATTATTTTTTTTCCTTTCTTTTCTTTCTTCCTTTTTCCTCCCTTCCTTCCTTTCTTTTTTTCTTTCCTTTTATCATTCCCTTTTTTCCTTCGATGTAACCGTTTCATTTCCCCTTTTCTTTTTCTTCCATCGGGTCTCATTACTAAATTATCAGCTCTTTTATTTTCAGCTTCATAATGTTTCCTCTCGCATTACTTCTCTTCTTTCTTTCTTTCTTTCTTTCTTTCTTTCCTCCATTTCCTTCTTTCCTTATTTCTTTCTTTCTTTCATTATTTTTTTTCCTTTCTTTTCTTTCTTCCTTTTTCCTCCCTTCCTTCCTTTCTTTTTTTCTTTCCGTTTCATTTCCCCTTTTCTTTTTCTTCCATCGGGTCTCATTACTAAATTATCAGCTCTTTTATTTTCAGCTTCATAATGTTTCCTCTCGCATTACTTCTCTTCTTTCTTTCTTTTTTTTCTTTCAAACATTCATTTCTTTTTCCGTTTTCGACTGTAAACTCCACGTCTTTCTCTCTCTTTCTCTCTATTTCTCTATCTATCTCTATCTATCTAATTCACTCTCTCACCATCTATCTATCTATCTATTTCTTCTTTTTTTTCCTTTCAAACTTCATTACTTTCCCAGAAGATGCCAGGGCAATGTCGACCTTTCGCTGTGCCAAATAATGGAATTTACCGAACGGGCTGCCGCCTTCGTTCACTGATGTCGTTTGATAATCTGCCGATCACAAGTGGCATCTGCAGGCAACCTGCTTTTGTCAAAGGCAGCAAGCGGCAGCGCCATCGACCCTCAGAGAACGAAACAGGAAAAGAGTCAGTGACTTCTAGCAGACGACAACCTTTTCCTGCGCAGGTCAGCCATTACGAGACATTACACAACTTGACAGAGTCCCGAGAAAGAAATGAAAAAGGGAAAATATATGAACAGCAAAAGTAAAAACAAAAAATAAATCTTCCCTCTATAAAAGAAAACATAATGAATGAATTTGTTTCTTTCAAACCAGAAATAAATAAATAATATAAACAACAGAAAATGGAGACCGGTCATGTTCGATCGTTAGAAATTTTACGCTGTGGAAACATTCATAAACTGTCGAATGGCAGAAAAAATTGGTAGATCTACACTTTTTATACCTTTGGTTTCGGTGAACAGAGACGTCTTTTTAAAGGTCTATTGTCGATTCTCTGAAGGAGAAAGATTTTTCATTGAGACGGCAAAAACTGATGAACCTTAAAAAAAACGAGGAAAGAATTTTTGCGAGCAAGTGGCGCCACCTAGCGGCACAAACTAATTAGTTTCGGCTGAAAGAGAATGACAGTGCAGAAATTTCTCATTAACCACGAATCATTTATCTCTAATATTTTGGATTTCATGTTCACGCACATTTATATTAACATATATAACAGCCATTTTCGAACAGACTTTTGTACATGCACAATATAGAGTACAAGAAAGTCCCGTGAAAAATTAACGTTTCTTCAATTTTAATTTTCTGGTGCATCTTAATTCTTAAGTTAATGATTGAATAAAGTCGTGGCGAGTTCTGTAGAAATTCCTCTATCATATCGTTAAATATTTTAACTTTAACAAAATTTTGCAACGCAACAACAATCAACAATATGAATGCTGGTCTTTATTTATTGAAGTAAGGGAATACAAATGAAAAGATCTTCAATTGATAACTTTTTCAATTTCATTGAAACAGACGTTAAACACTCCCCATCCCTCTTTCTTTCATTCAGTTTCTCACTGAAACCAAGTAGCGTCTCCGACATTTCTTTTCCTTCTTTCCGCACGATCAAAACGGAATAGTTCATTATTTATAAGGTATTGGCAAGGCATAACGGTCGTGCTAACTTGGAAGAAAAATTATAAGATCATTTTTATATTTTTACGATGATGCAAAAAAATAATATTACAGTAAAATTTGACATACGTAGAGATAAAACAACAGAAAAAGAAACAATTTGTTTTGTGGTGTATTTTTTTCTCTTCCTGCATGAGTGACTTTAGGCTTTTATCGATATTTCATGAAGGAACTTTGTTTTTAAAATCAATAAATGCAAAAGGTAACCAAAAAAATTCCTAGACTATCCTTCCTTGGGTCTTCAGTTCTAATCTTAATCCCTCCACCGATCTTCACTTCTATCCTTAATCTTCCCGTGGATCTTCAATTCCTAGTCATAAATCCTTCCTGGGATCTTCAGTTCTTATATCAATCTCTCCTCAGATCTTCAATTCTTGTCTTAATCGTCCCTCGGATATTTAATTCCTAGACTTAATCCTTCCTTGGTTCTTCAGTTTTAATTTCTATCTCTCCTCCGATCTTAACTTCTATCCTTAATCTTGCTTCGGATCTTCAATTCCTAGACATAATCCTTCCTGAGAACTTCAGTTCTTATCTCAATCTCTCCTCAGATCTTCAATTCTTGTCTTAATCCTCTCTCGGATATTGACTTAATCCCTCCTTGACAGGGTTGACATACGCACTCACAAAAAAAACATGATGGGATTAGTAATTTTTTACCCTTAGCTAAACACAGAGAACAGAGTTGTGCTGTGAAATGTAGGGTGATCCAAGATAACATGCAGTTGATGCACCTAAACACAAAGAAAGTTGATGACCATGCCACAATGATCATTTTGACTAAATCCAAAGTTTTGATAGTATCAGCCATCATTTCTTGGGAGCTGCCTTCTACACAGTTGGATTCAAATTACAGCTTCTGGATTTTCCTGTTGTATGCAATTCCTGGAGATAATAGTGGAAGTGAACAAGGTAAAATTAAAAGTTTTCATAGTTGCCCCAATTGATTTGTCAAGATTGTCACATATTCTGTACATCTTGTGCTGAAACTTTCCTGCACAAATTGAGGGTAAAAATGGATAAAGTGTGAATTGATTTGTTTGTTTAACAGCATATCAACACCTTATGGGTCATTAAATGCTGAAATTTAAATTTCTTGGGACCTTTGAAGAAATAAAAATATGATATATGTTATTCTGCTTTCACAATTGAATACATGGTAGATGGTACTCAGCTTTTGTGCATATACATGTTTGTGTGGACATAATTACAAGAGGCAGTGATATGTGTGTTATGTTGTAGTTTTGTTGAAGTTATGTTTTGGAATACAGTTTGATTTCTTTCAGAAATTGGAGGATATTATATGGAGTAATGTCTTGATAGAGTTCTTTCATGTTGGTGGATTGATTTTGTTTAGCGGCATGTCAACACCTCTGTGGGTTATTTAATGCCGAAATCTAAATATTTTTAACACAATTTTATGCCTTCAACTACAGATATTTTGTACATAGGTTCAAGGTAAAGGTATGTTTTTTTTTCTTTTTAGACATACATTTTGTAGATCATAAAATGTATTGTTGGTAATTTTCACATACAAAAGTATTTTTATAGTTTTTAGTCTTTCGTTGTCATTTTACTATAAAAATAGATTGTTGGCTATTTTATTATAAAAATATACTACTGATTTTTGTTTAGAGGTTCACTATTTACCCATAGGTGGGGCCCTAACAAGTCAGGGTGGACCTGCGAACAACAACAATTAAGAGGTGGTTCCACCTTCCTCAAAACCGCCAATCAGAGGCCTTGCTGCCGGATGTAGTTTATCGTCATACCATATGAATTTGGTAAGTTTGGGAGTGTAAAGTAGAAATAAGGGTCTCGTGATTTTTAGCAGTTTTTATTTTTTCTCTTACCTTAAAAAATTATGAATTAAAATAAAAAAATATATTTAAAGGATGAAATATCTTGAAAATTTAATGCTTCGAAGTTTCTTTGGGGTTCACTATATGCCCTTATCGACAGACTGTATCTAATATTTTTCAAGGTATCCTTGCTCTTCCGAGATGGCAAGCTTTTTGTAATGACTCTATTTTCAAATTCAGTCCAATTTTTGCAAGATGTTTCCATGTTTTTTTAGTACACTCCAGTGCTCCGATGATCACTGGTACCGTAATTACTTTGTCTACCAGTCCTTTCCAAACATTTAAAACTTCATAATTGAAATCATTATAGTTGACGATCTTTTTTTCTTTGCTTTCAATTTTCATGCCAAATGGAAAGAAGACTTCTGTCAGGTAGCAAATCTCTTTTATTTTATTTTTTTTTAGTGTGTGTGTGTGTGTGTGTGTGTGTGTGTGTGTGTGTGTGTGTGTGTGTGTGTGTGTGATGATATAATGGAATATGCATACACCTGTGTCCCCCCTCACTGGAATATGATTGGCTGGTGTCCGTCATAAATACCGACGGACATGTGGGAGAGTCAAAGAGCCTTAGTCTGAGAGCTAAGTCTATAACGACGCCCATTGGACTACGCCATTGATCTACACTTCTTACCTGAGACTACGACGCGTACCAGTCGATTACTGCTACCGTATTCTACTTGGTTATAGTAACCAAAAGCACTTAGCTACTTCGTTCAAATATATCCCTTTCGGTACATATCAGTGTGTATTTGTGTGTCCAGTAAGAATAAATGTCACTTAATTCTGTGACTGTATCGAAATAGTCTGCAAGATTTTCACTTTGATATTCATCAGTACTGAAGAGTGCTTCTTGTTTGGGCTGTGACACGTTTCGATACTACCTAATGATGGATAATGAAGGAAAAGAATAATCTAATTCTACAAAATGCATCCATCAAGTACATAATGACAATTTAGCAGTCGTCCCAAGGAAACATTCTAACTCTTTTTAAATTATTACTCTAATGTAAGTGACTTGTTTTGGCTGCCATAACAACGCAAAGATAATAAAAAGTCAATAAAAAATATCGCAATCAGGTTTTCTATTTTAAAATTGCTTCTATTTTAGTAATTTACTTTTGTTTTCGCTTTTTGCTTTTCTTAATTTCATGTCTATAGATAAAAACATTTCGTTCTTTTTCTTAATTTTATTATTAAACAAGCCGCGATTGCATATATTTCTAAGAAAAAAGTGAAAACAAAGAACATCAAGTGCTCCTTAAAAGTTTTCGCAGTTGAATGCAAATACTGACACACTCTTCTCTCTAATTTTAAGTTCCGGAAATTAGTTACCGGAAGGCTTCTTTCTTTTTTTTTTCTTTTTTTTTTTTGTTGTTAATTTGTCCTTCTTACCTTTTTAAATTAGTGACAATTGGAGCCCGCCAGGTGGCTCTGGCTACCGTGACAGAGCGAAGTTGTAAAGCCATTAAAAGTGGCGTTCTTCCAACTTCTTTCCTGTCGATTCTTGCCTGGTTCCATCTTTTACGCTCGGCGCTGGAAGAGAGCTTCTCATTATCATCAATTAACGGTGGTAATTAAGACTAAGGGAAAACATTCGCGGTTGGGCAAAAATTTTGTCAAACAGCGAAAAGTAGAGAGGCCGATAGAATTAAAATAAAAATTGAGAAAGGGTATGAGAGAAAGGATGAAAGAAAAAGAGGAAAAAGGTGAAAGATAGGGGAATCAGACGAAGAAGAAAAATGAAAAGAAAAGAAATGGCGAAGAAGATGAAAGAAAAAGAGAATGAGCAAAATAAAATGAAAAATGAGGAGAAATTTCGAGTAAAAAGACCAGGGAAGGAAAAGGAATAAGAGAAAATTTGTGAAGAATAATGAAGGGAAAATGAAAGAGAAAGGTGGCATAGGAAAAAGGAAAAAGGCAAAAAAAAAAAAGAGAGAGAAGGTGAATGATTGGAGAGAAATTAAGAAAAATAAAGAAAGACAAAGGAAGTGTGTTCGATTGAGAGAGAAAAATAAGAAGGAAAAAATGGTTACGTGTGAAAAACAATGGCGACGAAGATGAAAGAGAGAGAGAAATAAATAAATAAAAAATCTTGAACCCGAGAACTGGGCTGCATTCCCAACTTCAGGCTTTGTAAGGGGTCATTGGAGTGAATTTTACAAACTGAAAATAGTGAGTTTCTATGAGAGAGTGTATAATTTGGTGTGACTATCAGTTTGAACGAAACTAGAACGCTCAAACCCTCAGTCACATTGACTTACTAGCACAACTATCGGCGAAATCCGAACGGATACTACTCAATTTTAACTCACATGGTATGTTTTTATCAGGTACATCCCAACGGTACGGTATATTGGGGATCGTCTCCTGAGCAGGATAAAATCGGACATGGTAATACTCGAACCTGGTTCTGATGGTCGGAAAGGAAAACATTCCTTGCACGCGCCCATCTCGCCATTGTGCAATAAATAGACGGTTAATCGCGAGAAATAAATTTTCAAAATAAAAATTGAAAAGAGAGACATAAAGAAAGAGTGGAAAAGTAGAGAGAGACAAAGAATCCGAGTGGAAAAAGAAGTTGAAAAAAGAGAGACATAAGAAAAGATGCCTTCTATAAGCTGAACAAAGTATAAGAAACAGGAAAAGTTCCTCAGAAAAAAATGAAAGGCTACTAAGATGTTATGTGATATCGACCCTACTAGATGACAGTGAATACTGAACAATCTCATCACAGACGGAGAAGATACTTGAGGCAGCAGAAATGTGCTTCTACAGAAGGATGCTGAGAATACCATGGACTGAACACATGAGTAACGACGAAGATTTAAGGAAAATTGAAACAAAAAATACTTAGACTTTGAATCAGAAAGAGACAGCTTAAATTTCTAGGGCACATAATGAAAAAGAGGTCTTGGAGAATTTGACACCCACAGGACATACTGGAGACATTGGAAAACAGCAAATAACTTATCTAACGTGTAAATAATTGGTAGCACTGAGAATAGAAGAGATAACAAAAAGACAAATTTTATTAAGAGCTACAAAGGAAAGAAAGTTGTAGAGAGCCACGTCCTCAACGTTCATAGAACATACAATAATAATCTTTATCTCTGTCTATAAAAGGCAGGATGTGTGTGTGTGTGTGTGTGTAACGAATGCACGGCCGCAATTTTCGACGGATTTGCACCAAAATTTACATGCAATTTGCTATGATTAATCCCATTTCTTATAAGGAGAAACAAGTTTTCAATTCTTGTTTGATTTTGAAAGATTATTTGGTTAAAAAAAAAATGAAACTAAGTAATTAAAATTTATCTCTATCTATAAAAGGCAGGATGTGTGTGTGTGTGTAACGAATGCACGGCTGCAATTTTCGACGGATTTGCACTAAAATTTACATGCACATGTTCCAAGTTAGCGAAAAGGCCAAGACCAACTTTGCATTTCCCAACTCCCATTGATAGTGGAAATATTCGATTTTTTTCATGCTTCTACGGCAATTTTCATGTAGTTTGCGGCCATTTTCTACTGGTCAGAGTGAGAGTCTATAGCTGACTGCAACGAATAGGCAGGGAGATTCTATTGGCCAGCGCGAGAGCCAACAGCTGACTGACACGAATGTTAAGTAGCATGCTAGCATGCAAAAAATTTCGATAGCTGCATTCGTCACAAGTTGGAAAAATTTAAATCTGCATGGCACTTTACTCCAATTGGCTTATTCGCTTGATTAAACTCAACGTTGATTCTGATTCCGCAGAACTGGGTTGGGTGTGAAAAAGTATTTGTTGTTAACATTCTTTTTTCATTCGGTTTTTCCAGTTACGAGTCCTTTTTTAAAGCTGATCGTTTTGTGTTTATTTTGTTTAGTTCTTTTTTCGTAACAGATTTAATGTTTAGTATAGAGCTTAGAAAAAATTCACAGTGTGAGATAGGCTAGAAGTAAGGCATGTAGCAATATCAGCACGGCAAAGGGCACTCCTTTAAAGGCAAGAAAGGGCAAAAATATTTTAATTCAAGTGATAGCGATTGGTGTATGAGTCGTACATTTTTGAATCAAGCACGGGCAATGCCGGGTCATGCTGCTAGTTTGTATTAACCAAAGGACCGATTACGCAGCAAGTACTTTTATCCAACACCGCAATGGTGCTCCAAAAGCAAATTATTAACCTAAGAAATCAAGTCATGCTCTTAAATAAGCTTGTCAGCTCTAGACTCTAATATGGATATCATGAATAATATCCAACTCGATCAAAAATGTCTACACTATCAGGTATTCAAACTGCTTTGGTTAAATAATTTACATAAATCATGTCGATTAGTTTTCGTTCCGATTCATTCGAGTTCACGGATTCATTTTTTGGTAGCCTTAGAAAATTTAAAAAAAAAAATACCAAAGTTTTCTTTCGAATATTTTTATTTTCCCCCCAAGTACTTTCAACCTCATCTGAGCCCATCTTCACGGGGGTTGAAAATGGTCTCAGACGTGATTGAAAGTACTTGGGAGAAATAAAAACTATTTGAAAGAATATTTTGGTATTTTTCTTAATCAATTTTATACAGCTACCAAGAAATTAATCCATGAACAGCAAATGTATCCTTTAAGTCTTAAAGAAGATTATTCACATTAGGCACTACAAAGTGGCACTACAGCTACACAAAGAGTTTTACCACATAACAAAAGCCACACCACTTGAACAAAGGCATTGGTTTTTGACAAAGGCTAAAATCGTCGAAAGTATTTGAACAAAACAATAATAGAATATGAACTTCGAACAGTTTAGTCACAATTCCGAATGCAACACTCAAGAAATGATTCCAAAAATACACTAAAAAATTAAACAGACAGACTGTGTCTATTCCTTCGATTCGGTCTTTATTTATTTTTCATGTTTCTATTTTAATTAATGCTGATATAATTTTGTTTGTAGCCATCTAAACCTACTTCTTCGTTTCTTTGATTGTTTGTTTCTTTCATTCTATCTATCTCATAATGTCCATATCTATTTATCTATCTCTCCGTGTTTATATCTATCTATTTATCTCAGTCTGTTCATATCTATCAATCACAGTCTGTTCCTATCTATCTTTGTATCTGTCTATCACAGTTTGTTCGTATCTATCTATCTGTTTGTCTGAGTCTGTTCATATCTGATGTTAATCTATCTATCTATCACAATCTGTTCGTATCTATCCATTTATCTATCTCAGATCGTCTGTTCATATTAATCTATCACAGTCTGTTCATATCTATCTATATATCTGTCACAGTCTAATTGTATCTATCTACCTCAGTCTATTCCAGTCTATCAACCTTATTCTGTTAATATTTATCGATTTCTATATATCTCTCTTTCTCTCTCTCTCTCTCTCTCTATATATATATATATATATAGAGAGAGAGAGAGAAAGAAAGAGAGATAGATAGATAGATAGATAGATAGATAGATAGATAGATAGATAGATAGATAATTGTTGGATTGATAGAAGCACATCATTCCTCGCTTCTTCACTTTCTCTTTACCATTTTCTCTCTCCTAAAGATTTTCCTTCCCAACCCCCAACTCCATTAAGTGACGTCATCAATGTAAACATTGCATTCTTCAGTCCAGGAGGCTTTCTTTTCTTTTTTTATTTTTTTTTTTATTTTTTTTTTTTTCATTTTCAACAAAATCCGATATTTTCTCGTCTTCCCGAGGTTTTATGCAAATTAGATTAAGTATTCTCCTCCGGCGTTTTAAGCACCTACTTCTTGCATACCTACATACATATGTGCCTACATACACACACACACACACACACATATATATATATATATATATATATATATATATACACACACATGCAGGCATATATATACATATACGTGCAAAAACAATTATATATATAGCACGTGAATACATTAAATCAGCTGCTTCACACACGAACCTACACGCATCCATAAACATAAGTATACACACACTAACAACTCCATACACACACATATACACATAGATACATACATATATATATATATATATATATATATATATATATATATATAGTGCGATGGATAAATTGTCGTCCAAATTATGCGCTCGCACACACACACACACACACACACACACAAATTGAAATAACACTGACATTTCATTTTAACAGATATATTTACCAAAATTATACAAAAGTATCTTGAAATGCTAAAGAGTTAATTTATTCAATAAATCACCATTGGCTTCAACCACGGCCTCCAGACAACTTCGGAATCTCCTGCAACTCTTCCGGACAGTTTCCTTGTTTTAAGTTGGTGAATGCTGCCGTAATCCTTGCCTTCACTTCATCTTTAATGTTACAAGTAGCTGTCTCGCTCAACACTGCCTCACAGACAATAATCAAGAGAGTTGCAGTCTGGGGAATTAGGTGGGCAGATGTAAGGTGTGATGTGGTCGCAGAAATTGTCTGGCATGACTGGGTTCCCCTGCTTGTGGTCCTGTTGCCAGACATAGGGTATTCCAGCAGCCACCCTCTTGACCCAGACCAACACTACCTCCTCAAGGCACCTGATGTAGTACTCCGTGTTGAGTCTGAGGCCCTGTGGGAATGTGAATGGAGGCATAACGTCGCCATCACTAGTGGTCACTCCAAACACCTTCGTAATCACCATTAGACTCATCCAACTCTTTCTGAATCCGCTGCACTGTCCCCAGACTGACACCCAAACAGTCTGAAATGTCAGTAGTGGAGATTCCAGCGCGAATACAATGCAGTACATCATGACGTTTCCAAATTTCTGGTGGAGTGAATTGCGTCATGGTACACTTTTTCTCACAGACGGTGCCCAACTGACCCTACTATAATGTGCAGTCAGGGAAAAAAACAACAACAACGTGAATGGGTGAAATTAAAGATATGAAATGGCGACAATTTATCCATCGCACCTCACACACACACACACATATATATATATATATATATATATATATATATATATATATATATAACAAATATATGGATATAGATCCGACAGTATGAAGAAAAATATACGGAAAAAAACAAACAAAAATCCTAATATGCAATTATGCTGTTTTAATGTTAATATAATGTCAACGTCGGACGTTTCGGTCTAGTAGACCATCTTCAGGACATATTCATACGTTTGTCGAGCATTAATCTTGCTAGAAAAGGGGAAATATTAAAGAAGCCAGGTCTAGTATTCACCGTGCGTGAGATAGATATTATGCCTGCCTCATAAATCCGTCTAAGATTTTAGTATTCACCGTGCGTGAGATAGATATTATGCCTGCCTCATAAATCCGTCTAAGATTTTTATTATGAATATATTTTAAAATCTTCACAGAATCAAAATTAATTATGTTTTATGAACACACACACACACAAAAAAAAAAAATTAAAATAACACTGACATTTCATTTTAACAGATATATTTACCAAAATTATACAAAAGCATCTTGAAATACTAAAGAGTGAATTTATTCAATAAAATCGCCATTGGCTTCAACCACGGCCTCCAGACGATTTCAGAATCTCCTGCAACTCTTCCGAACAGTCTCCTTTATCTACTGTGCCAAGGACACATGGCACAGTGGATAAAGGCGTGGGTTAGATCTAGTGACAGGACCCAAAGAGTGTGAGTTCAATACCCGGTTTAAGGCAGTGGAGAACTTTCAGTGGGAAATTAACAGGAGATAACTGATAACTGACATTCATTAAACATGGCACGTGGAACTAGAACAGTCTACCCCAGTGAGCGAAATGAATTATTCAGTTCGAAATTCCAACCACCTGAAGAAGTCCGGAACGTACAACGGCCGAAACGTTGTAATAAATATGGCGACAAAGATGAGGACAATAGTCCAGATAATGTAAATAATGGACCTATTTTATATCTGTGTGTGTGTGTGTTTCTGAAGGATTTTATCTTTATTTTTAGTACTCTTGTTTGTCTTCTGACGTGTGATGACTCAAATCACGAAATCCTGAGTCGACATCTGATAAGTATTGTTAACTTTAAGTACTTCTGATACAATAATTATTGCTGTATATAATTAGTGAGCCCTTTATTGATAGGAATTCCGTTCGCCTTGATATCCATTGAATTATATCATTTTACGTATATTAATTGGTGACATTACTGTTTTTTGGTGGTTTTACCTTAAATTCATTGTGATTTATTCCTATTAATATTCTACAAACTTCATCAGTTTGACTTTCTTTGATATTGTTCATTTTTTTACATCGTCGACGTTAACATCACTTTCCGATGTCTTTATTGTGCCTTCTTTAGTAGAACGTGGCTTTCATTCCTATATTTACCAACCAATCCGTACACTCAATTAATTACTGATAAAATCAAAGACTCAAAGATTAAATCCGCCCCGACAACATCTTCTCCCATGAAAGACATGATTAATAATTCAAAAATTATAATAATAAACAGGATTAAAAAGCTGTTATATATATATATATATACAGGGTGTCCCAAAAATGTACCCACTTTCTAAATGACAATAAATGCCGTGTTTATTGACTTGCAAACAAGATTAAAGCTTAAAATTAAGAAATATTAACGTTTATTAACTTACAAGGCAGATTAGAGGTTTAAATACATACATACACACACATATATATACACACATACATACATACATATATATATATGTACATATGTGACGTCCCCCGCGGGTGTCGCCGCTCCAAACGTGATGTCCGCCTGTCTGCGTCAGTCGTGTTGTCCCGTCCTGTGACGACCAGCTGGCTTGGTATCGGTCGCGGCACCCAAATGTGACGTTCTAACCTTTTGGTGATTCGGATGGGAATCTGGTTAGATTCGATATCAGCCTCGTCGTTCCCAACTCGCTTCCAACGTCTGGTTACCAAAGTAACTGCGTTGATCTCCAGTCCGCCTACCCACGTTGTGAATTGATCTTAGGCAGACGAAATCAATCAGTCGCCGGGGCCGTAATGCAAGTCGAGTTCGAATAAGGGCGATATCGCATAAATAGATGTAAAAGAAAATAAAATAACAACTCGAAAAGTTCAAATGTGTTAAAAAAGGATAACAATATTTTATATCTGGTTTCTGGATACAGGACTGCATCTATTTCCCAACCCGCTATATGGATTCGTAACACGTTGTTTTTGTTAGGCGAGTCTTAACATCTTAAGTTGTCTGTTCTTTAAGAAACTGGTTCTTGGTGTGTCTTCAGGCGATATTCGTAAAACTTGTTTTGGTGGTATGAGTCTAAGTCGTTCTTCAAAAATAAATTGTTCTTGGTTAGAAGATGAGTTCGGAATTGCGTGAATCTTAGTCAGCTAATGCGTGGTGGTTCTTCAGAGTTCTCAACTTAAACTCGAACTCACTGGAACTGGAAACTAAAACTGGAAACTGATTTTCGCTCGCAGCGACTTTGCTTATATGGACGCCGACCCAAACGGGGTGGGCTCGTCGGGGTTTGAGGTTCCTTGATAATTCTAAATCCACAGTCCACTTCTTTGTTTTCGGTCAGGAAATTTCCACTCCTTTCCATTTTTGGAAGTCTTCTCCTACTCCCACTTTCTTCTGTTCCCATATGAGTATCTCACCATACCCTCAGAGGGCGTCAACGGTTTTCCCTCTCTCTCGCAGTAACATCTCATACCTATCCCCTCAATGGCTGCCAGCAGGCCTCCCCCCTTGCATCACATGATCACCTCCGCCTGGCTCTCGTTAACATTAAGCCAATGAGCGCTCAGCAGTGTGGGTGTGACCAGACTAGCCTTGTTTTTTAAAAAAAAAATCTTGCTCGAAAAAAAAATTATCCTTTTCTTTTCATTTTCCTTTTTTTCCTTTTTCTTTTTTTTTTTTTTTTTTTTTTCGTAGTGTGGTCCCTTAATCGCAGCTCTTGTCTTCAATGTCACCTGGGATCTATCAATGAGATTTTCGCCAATTATCAAGTGGGTGGTCATCTAGCGAAACACAGCCAACCTTTCGTCCCGATAAGGTAGTTTCGCTATCCTAGCCGTATTTGCATTCTTGGTGCCAGTTTCTGATAAAATAGTTTCGCTGTCATAGCCAAATTTCAACACAACCCAGATGCCTTGTCCAACGACACCCTCCCATCGACAAAGACTTAACCTATGGTTTGGTTTTCTTTGTTTTCGCAACTCGTGTGTGGCCAACGGACAACACAGTTAATTTTTATCTATTTAGAATTCTGTCTCTGAGGCCAGCTGGCCAACCTGGAATTCGTCAATTAGCTTTTCGCCATCACCAAGCGGTTGGCCCATTAGACGCTTTCACATTCTGGCGTTATCTATTCCCGATAATATAAGTTCGCCACCATGACACAGTTAATTTTTATCTATTTAGAATTCTCGACAATGGCAATAAAATTTTCACCATTTTTCCTTGTCAAAATAACACCGCTTAATGTCACTTTCGTGATGGTCTTTTTTTTTATCATCTAAATTTAACTCTCGCCTTTTTTTTCTTTCTTTCCTTTTTCTTTTCTTCTTTCTCCCTTTTAAGCAAGCTAATTAGTGTCACACACACACACACACACATATATATATATATATATAATTACATGAATCATTCATGCAAAAAACAAATATAGAGGTTAATGATTTAAATGGCGAGAATACATCTTCGCAAACAATTTCAATAAGTTACACTAACCCCGAACCTGTATATGAATGATATGATCCCTGTTTATAAATTCCAGTTTCATAAGGTCATATATATATATATATATATATATATATATATATATATATATATATATATATTATGCACTGTTACATTAGAACATGTCGTTTCAACGTTGAAAATAAAACGTCTTTTAAGGTGGTTAATGCTCTACTCTTCTAAAGAGCCTTGTTTTAAATTAATGTTTTAAACGTTGCAATTTTATTCTTCGTTCGTATATATATATATATATATATATATATATATATTGACGCAACTTTTCCATTTAATAATATTTTTTCTGTTTTTTCTTGCTTTCTGGCAAGTTTTTTTTTTATATTTGGGTCTAAGTTGTTGGAAAAAGACCCTCGTCCATGGGGTTTAGCCGAACGCTTGCGGTTGTTGTCAATCGTCATCATGGCTATATGTTTCCGTTTGAAGTAGGTTGTTTGTTTATTGTTTTATTTTATAGATAATATTTTAGATAGTTAGACGATATTGTTGGATTAGTTCATTAGCATTTAGGAGGGGGTTGGTATTTATTATTTGGAGGATTAGTTATTAAATATATTTAAGATGTTTTTGGTCTTTAATTATGATGGCTTCAAGAATTTGTAAGCGTTTTTTGCATTTGTCATGTAGAGGATTTTGATATTGTTCTTTAGGATTTTTCTTATTTCGAATTTGAATCTGTTACTAACTATATAATTTGGTGTCTGAAAACATTGCAAAAATTTTCTTTCAAATAAGAATATCAATTACAGAATGTTCTGTTTGTATTTTTTAAGGTCAAAATAACTACTGTAACATTATTGAAACATTCTAGAATATTCCACTAGAATATTCTAGAGAATTAAAGCAATTTAAATGTTTAAAAGTTTTAAAATCTGAAATTTGCATTGTACGAATACTTTTTTCACCCATTAAAACGGATAAATAGAATTTATTTCTATTACTTGAATTTTTTTCTGTTTTCGATGCATATTTAGTTATTATGCATCTGTGTACAGTTAATTGAAAATTGTGTTTATTCATTAGTTGGAAATACAATAAATTAAAAAATTGTAAGTGTACGAATATTTGTTTCCCTCCCACTGTATATATAATTAGCTCTTGAAAATCTATTGCAGTTGAACACTGTTGAATCACAAGCTAATTCTATAAACAAGAGCCACCTGTGTTAATGCAAAGGCCTTCAGTAAAATGAATAGAGCACTCCAGCCGATTGGCATTTGTTTACATTCGTAAAAACAATACGATAGATTTGGCTCCTTCACTCTGCCGAATGAAGATAGCTCAGTGGTAGAAGCTCTTTCGATCCTGACTTGATGAATTCGGATCTCTAGTCGCTCTGAAGAACTGTGATACAGCGAAACAGTACTGCGAATGACACACACATATATATATATATATATATATATATATATATATATATATATATATATATATATATCCTAATAGATGAAACACATTTTCTGTATGCTCTTTTGTGTGCTGAAACCGTTGTGCATTTTCCACCAGCATCAGTGGTCGGAGATCGAATCCAGGCACCCACCAGAACACCGTTTTCAAAAGACGGACTCATACCCAAATCTTGATGATGACTGGATACAACATACACATGAGAAAGGTCGGAGAGCACAACAGCTAAAAAGTTGACCTCGGGAAATTAAAAATAAGGATATTAGTCGGAATATTTCGGCGATTAACGGCTGTATTTCAGACAATTCTCGGAAGGCCGTAGAGCATACCTGCCGAAGCGTAATAATCTAACCGTTAAAGATGATATTAGTTCCAACAATTCGCGAAATACTAACAACCTTTTCACCGAACCTCAAAAAAACTAATTGATCGAGTTCTCATTAAGCATCCTCTCAAATGATTCTTTTTCTTCTTCTTCTTCTTCTTCTTCTTCTTCTTCTTCTTCTTCTTCTTCTTCTTCTTCTGTGCTGTGTCCCTTCAAGACGTAGGGGATCATAGCTCCAACCATTGAATTCTTTGCCTCTTGCCATGATGAAAACCTTCTTGCACGAATAACAATTACAGAATTTTCTATTTGTAATTTTTTAAGCTAAAATTAACTACTGAAACATTATAATATATATATATATATATATATATATACATAAATATATATGCCTTGTTCTCTATACCTTTCTCTTTTTTCTTTTTCGCTCTCTATATCTACTATCCACCTCTCCTCTCTCTCTCTCTCTCTCTCCATCTTGTTCTCTTTTTTATCTCTTCTCATTTTCTCGCTCAGTTTCTCTTTCTCTAGCTGTTTCTCTTGCTTTCTCTCTTGTTCTCTCTATCTCTCTATCTTATTTGCCTCTCTTTCTTCCTCTCTCTAGTTCTCTCTATCTCCAATATCTCATTTTTCTCTCTTGCTATTTTCTCCTGTTCCTCTCTCTCTCTCTCTCTCTCTCTCTCTCTCTCTCTCTCGTTCTCTCTATCTCTTATTTGCCTCTCTTTCTCCCTCTCTCTCATTTTCTTCTCTGTCTATCCTTTCCTGCTGTCTGTCTCATTTTCTCTATCTCTTTCTCTTTTTTCTCTCTCATTCTCTCCATCTTCCCGACTCCTCTCTGTGTCCCCTCCTCTTCCCAACTTTTGTTCTCTCTAATTCCAACTCATTATGCTCTCTCCTCCCCCCTCTCTCTCTCTCTCTCTCTCTCTCTCTCAGTCGTTCTTCCTTTTTTTCTTTCTCTCTTTTTTTCGGTCTTCCTAACCCTTTCCCTTTTTTTCTCTTTCGCTCTCTATATATTCTATCCGTCACTCTTTTCTCTCTTTCTCTTTCTTTCCCGCTATCTATCGCCTTTCCCTCTCCTCCTCCTCTAGCCCATTTCCTCTGTATATTTATATTTCTTTTTCTCTCTCGTTCTCTCCATCCTCCCTATTCCTCTCTCTCTCTCTCTTTTCACCTCCATTTTTTTTTCTCTCATTCTTACCCTTGCTTCTGCTCTTTTCCTCTCTATCGCTCTCATTCTATCTTCTTCTTTCTCTCAATTTCTCTCTTTCTCTGATCCTTGTTCTCTATACCTTTCTCTCTCTTTTTTTCTTTTTCGCTCTCTATATCTACTATCCGCCTCTCCTTTTTCTCTTTCTCTTTCTTTCTCCTCTTTCTCGTTCTCTATCCCTTTCCTTTTTTTTCTTTCTCGTCCTCTCCATGCTTCCTATTCCCCTTTCATTCATTTCTGCATTACTTTCTATCCCCCCCACCTCTTTGATTCTCTGTCATTCTTTCTCTTTTCCTTTCTGTCTCGATCTTTTCTTATTTCCTTTTCTTCTCTCTCGTTCTCCTTTTCTTCACCTTCCTCTACTCTTTCTCACGCTCTATCTTCTTTCTCTTATTTCTTTTCATTCTTTTTTTACTCTCTTCTCATCTCCTTTTCCTTGTCCTTCCCAGGTAACTTGTCGGCTTCCTCTATACACTCGCGTCAAGCCAATGGCACCATGATATAAATGGCTCCCAAATGACAAGGCGAATTTTACCTAAGGCTCTTTGATGTCAGATTTTTGTATTGTGCTGAGTTAAGTGCTAATCTATTTACCAGAACCAGGCCATTGTAACCGGATGAACAGGCCGGACAAAATGGCGGCCGACGGACCCCTGGCTGCTATCTATTCGGCCAAACAGACCTGTTCGCAATGAAAAGAAAAGGTTCGCGGACTTGATTCGCCAACTATCGACCTGATATCTGGAAACCGTGACATGTCGAGGAAGTAGTGCGTCACCAGAGGTAAAGGCGAATGGATTTAGAGGCAAAAAGAGAAAAGGAAGACATGAATAGAGAAGTAGTGGGTACGGATGAATAAGATAGGATTGGTCAGGAGCATTTTAGCGGCAGGGATGATCATATGATGATTAAAGTGGTCACAATGGTGGTGATGGCAATGATGACGGGCTTTGGCTGTCACCATTATTCTTCGATTGTTTTCAAAATAATTCTTGTTCTATGTGCCATGTATCTTCAAAACGTAGACGATCATGGCTTTTCACATTTTCCTGTCCTTTGTAGCTCTTAATAAATTTTGTATTTTTACCATCTCTCCTAAATCTTGCTCTTTAGGTTTTCCTCTGTCCCTCTTGCCGTCAACATGCCTTGTGTGTATCAAATTTTCCAAGCTTTCTTTCCTCATTATGCGTTTTTTATTTTTAGTATAAATATCCTTTTTGTTTCCATTTTCTCTAAAATTTCGTCGTTGCTCACACGTTTGGCCCACGGTATCCGCACAATCCTTCTGTAGAACCATATTTCTGCTTCCACCAAAGTCTCTTCATCTATGAGGAGATTGTCCAACATTCACTGCAATATAATTTACATTCATAGATATGCTTCCACTACCAAGCACATGGGGCTAGGAAAAATATATAAATTTCCAAATTAGAAAGTTAAAATTAAAACCTTTTGGCTAATTTAGATTTTATCTAAATTAGAATTGTTTAAAAGTGTTATGGCGAATTTCAAATTTGACTTGAACCAAATTAAACTGATTTTTTTTTTACTTTTTACGCAATTTTTTTTTAATGACGTAAATTGACATTCATTTAAATGACTAATTCTCTTACTACTGTTCTACAGCAAAGTCTCAAAAATGGATTTCAAAGTGCTATTATAACAAAAATATTCGTTTTAATAGAAGTTAGACTAATTGCCGATAGAAGCCGAAAATAGTGGCACATAAAATGTTCCACTGACAGAAGTTTTCGATTATTGCCTCGGGAAGAAATTTACTGAGGAAGAATTTGCTGGTGGAGAGATTTGGGTGTGCAGGTGGTGTAATCGACCAAAGCGAGAAATCGGCGAGCTGAGTTCGAATTACGATCGAGATCGCTAGATTCATTTTCGCATAAATACCCTTGCGAAAGGCTACCTCTTCTTACCCCCCATCCGTGGGTTAAATAGCAAGTCAGGCATGATTCTCCAACCGTGGTTGACAACCAGTATAGAAGGACAACTCTGATTTCAAAACCAGATGTGTCGCTAGTGACGTACATACTTGAAATATAGCTAAGTTCCGCTCAGCATAGTTGAAGTATAGACAACAAGGTTGGCTCTGTTGCCGTTGATGAAACACAAATATGCCTGAGCAGGCGTCTGCAATAGGAATTAGCTAGATGGATAAGCTCAGAAACATAGTTATGTAATATCTTTAGGTTTGAAAACTTGAAAACACACTGACAATTAATGGGATTTCTCGTTATCCTCTCTTTGTCTTTTTTTCATTTCTTCTTTCTCTCTTTTCCTTCTTTTTTATTCCGTCTTTCTCTATTTTTCTTTCTTTCATTTCTTCTTCCTCTCTTTTCCTTCTTTCTTTCATTTCTTCTTCCTCTCTTTTCCTTCTTTCTTTCATTTCTTCTTCCTCTCTTTTCCTTCTTTCTTTCATTTCTACTTCTTCTCTCTTCCTTTTTTTTTATTCTTTCTTTCTCTATTTTTTCTTTCATTTCTTCTTTCTCTCTTTTCCTTCTTTCTTTCATTTATTCTTTCTGTCTTTTCCTTCTTTTTTATTCCTTCTTTCTCTATTTTTCTTTCTTTTATTTCTTCTTTCTCTCTTTTCCTTCTTTCTTTCATTTATTCTTCTTCTCTTTGCCTTCTTTTTTATTCCTTCTTTCTCTATTTTTCTTTCTTTCATGCCTTCTTCTTCTCTTTTCCTTCTTTTTTATTCCTTTTTTCTCTATTTTTTTCATTTTTTCTTTCTCTCTTTTCCTCCTTTTTTATTCTTTTTTCTCTATTTTTTCTTTCATTTCTTCTTTCTTTCTTTTCCTTCTTCTTTCATTTCTTCTTCTTCTCTCTTCCTTCTTTTTTATTCTTTCTTTCTCTATTTTTCTTTCTTTCATTTCTTCTTCCTTTTTCCTCCATTTTTATTCCTTTTTCTCTATTTTTTCTTTCATCTCTTCTTTCTTTCTTTTCCTTCTTCTTTCATTTCTTCTTCTTCTCTCTTCCTTCTTTTTTATTCTTTTTTTCTCTATTTTTCTTTCTTTCATTTCTTCTTTCTCTCTTTTTCTTCTTTTTGTTTCTTCTTTCCCTATTTTTCTTTCTTTCATTTCTTCTTTCTCTCTTTTTCTTCTTTCTTTCCTTTCTTCTTCTTCTCTCTTACTTCTTTTTTATTCCTTCTTTATTTTTCTTTCTTTCATTTCTTCTTCTTCTCTTTTCCTCCTTTTTTATTCCTTCTTTCTCTATTTTTTCTTTCATTTCTTCTTTCTCTCTTTTCCTTCTTTCTTTCATTTCTTTTTCATGTCTTTTCCTTTTTTCTTTCATTTCTTCTTCTTCTCTTTTCCTTCTTTTTTATTCCTTCTTTATCGATTTTTCTTTCTTTCGTTTCTTCTTTCTCTCTTTTCTTTCATTCTTTCTTTCCTTTTTTTTCTATTTTCCTTCTTTTTTTTTCCTTCTTTCTCGATTTTTTCTTCTTTCTTTCTTTTCCTTCTTTCTTTCATTCCTCCTCCTTCCGTTTTCCTTCTTTTTATTCCTTTTTTCTCTATTTTTCTTTCTTTCATTTCTTCTTTCTCATTTTTCCTTCTTTTTTTCCTTCCTTCTTCTTCTCTCTTACTTCTTTTTTATTCCTTCTTTTCTATTTTTCTTTCTTTCATTTCTTCTTTCTCTCTTTTCCTTTTTTCTTTCATTTCTTTTCTTCTTCTCTTTTCCTTCTTTTTTATTCGCTCTTTCTCTATTTTTCTTTCTTTCATTTCTTCTTTCTTTTTTTCTTTCTTTCTTTCATTTCTTCTTTCTCTCTTTTTCTTCATTCTTTTACTCCTTCTTTTCTCTTTTCCCTATTTTCCTTCTCTCTTTTCTCTGTTTCCTTTCTTCTTTCCCTCTTTTTTCTCATTTCTGTCTTTCTTCCTTTCGTTTTTTCTTTCTCTCTTTCTATTCCTCTTCTTTCCTTTCTTCTTTCTCTCTTTTCCTTCGATCTTCTTCATTTTTTCTTCTTTCCTTCTTCCTTTCGTTTTTCTTCTTCTCTTCTTTCGTCTTCTCTTTTTTTTCTTCTTCATTTCTTCTTTCTCTCTTTGTCTTCCTTCAACCTTTCTTTCTTTCTTTCCCTTCTTCCTTCTTACGCCTATTTTTAGGGACGCTGTATTCACAGACAATATCCTGCAACTACAAATATTACAGATTTGTGTACAGCCATGGAAACGGCATTGTTCAATATATCTGTAGAGGTCTTCCGACAACTTCTCGAATAGATACCACGTCGAATTGCTGCACATCGCCGTGCTTAAAGATTTGAATCTGTTACTACACAACTGTATGCATCTATCCCACGACATTTGGTATATTAGTACATTAGTTTGTACGTCTTTATTGTCTGAATATCCGTCACGTGACTATCATTTCGATCAGTGTACGTGGACCAGTGTTTTGTATTCAAGACAGAGTTTCAAATGTTGATTTTCAAATCAAACTGATAATATCCACATAGGAAAATGAAGCAAAAAACCATTCGTACATTTATTTGTCCTTCCAAGATACATTATTATCAAAAGCAAAAATTTTGATGGCCAATTTTCAAAACAAACTCGCTATCACTATTTAGCAAATAGACGCTGCACAATCTTCCTTATTTACCCTTGTAAAATTAATTATTATCCAAAGCCAGGCTATTGGACACGGATTTTTTCCAAAAATTTACCCTGCGTCCAATACAACAGTATCATGCATGAGAGGAACATGAAGACCAAGAAAAAAGTCGGGTTCACCTGCAATCGATGCATACATATAACTTAGCTATGAAACTAGGATCCCTGGAAGCGATCAAATATATCAATAAAAATATCCCTGAAAAATTCACCCAGGCAAAAAAATTAAGAAATTTATGGAATTGCAGAATATTTTGTTGCTTGTTTTGTAGAATTACCAGATTTTACAGAAATATATGCTTTGACTGGTATATTGCTTCTTGCTTTGTGTGTGTTTTTGTTGATATACAGGTATTGGAATTTGCTTTTCTGCATGTATGATATGGGACTTCATTTACCAACAAGTACCATATTTCGGTTTTCTTGCCTATTACTATATGTACCAGTAGAGTTACATATAGTTATTAAGAATTTACTGTACGTGCAGATGTTGCTCCCTGCAAAACAACTAAAATAATTTTCAATAAAAGCATAATGAAATGTACCAAAATTCTTCGTTTCAAAAAATGTTCTGGTAATTAAACCTTACTTTACTTTTATTAAAATGTACCAGTGGTATAATTAATTGCATTTACTACCCTAGGATTTTTCAAACACTATATTAAATATATTATAGATATATCATTTAGTTTTTAATTTTATTGTTGTGTATTATCTTTATATTATATGTATATTATATTATATGTATATTATCTTTATATTATATGTATATTATATTATATTATCTTTATATTATATGTATATTATATTATATGTATATTATATTACCTTTATATTATATGTTATATATTGTCTTGAGTGTTCGTTTTGGTTGTTATAGGATTAATAAAAATGAAAAACAAAAAAGGGTTTTTTGGGGGTTTTTTTAAATCGAATTTAAAGGTCAAAATTAAAAAATTAATTTGTTAATTTCAAAAATTCAAATATACCGGGTGTAACAGCAAAATTGTCCAAATCGCATGGGATAATTGTCTATCCCACAAAATGAGCAAGAGATGAATAAGAGAGGGGAAATCAGAGACAGAAAAGTGGGGAGAGAGAGAGATAGAAAGGGAATCAAGAAAAGAAATAAAGGAAGAAAAAAAGAAAAAAAGATTTTGAAATTGAAATAAGAATTGATAAAGATGGAATATGTTCGATTTGTTAATGAGTCAGAACCGCTGCCCTCCAAGTAACGGTTTCTACTGGTGTTTAATAGTTTGGATTAAGATTAAGATTTTGGATTAAGATTAATGGTTTGGATTAAGATTAAGATTTTGGATTAAGATTAATGGTTTGGATTAAGATTAAGATTTTGGATTAAGATTAATGGTCTGGATTAAGATTAAGATTTTGGATTAAAATTAATGATTTGGATTAAGATTCGTTTGTTAAAGAATATTTTAACAGACTATTATTTTTAGAGGAAGTGTATCTCGGCTCCGTCTTCCTGAGGTTGACAGCTGGCGTCAGATGTGAACCAAAATAGGGAAATCGATTTTGATTAGCTGATTTAGTGTGGGAAGAGAAAGGTTTCAGCTAGTTGGTTCTTACTCGTCAAGAGACGTAGACGTGTTCTCTTTCGTGTCCGAAACAGCTCCCCAGTGGGGACAGGGACCCCCACTAGATAGTTAAAGTATATGTCGACTTGAGTAATAAAAAAAAGTTAACATTCTCTGCGTTGTAGTCTTTCATTGCCAAACCGAAACGATTGGCGATCGTCGGTCGAGAGGAAAAAGCCGAGCTGAGAACATTCACTGCCGTCAATATGGAACACGTTGCACTGAGTGATTGATCAAAATTTGGAGGCACGGTGGAGTAATGGATAGCAGCTCGGATTGAAAAATAGGAGAGCCGTGTTCATAATCCAGTCCGATCCATTACATTCACTTACGTGTTAATACCCTTGGGAATGGTATGAAACTTCTTCCCACAACTATGGGTAAATAGCAGGACAGACCAGGTTTCTATAGCCTTGGATGGCAACTGATCTACCGCAGAAAGAAATGGCAACCTACTGCAGGAAATAATCTGCTTAGATCTCTTTATTGTGTATCGTGCATGGCACATAAATGTATTGTAGCGTAGTTTTCACAGTGGAGGCTTGTATTTCGCTAAGTCGGTCCTAAAAGGGTCCGACGTACAAAACGTTAGGAACTTGAAATAAGAGTTAATGACGCAGCAATCTAGTTGTGATGGTTGATACTTCAATGTCCGACATCGACTGACTCACTCAACTCCACTGAGCCCCACTGGCGACCGCTACTACTACTACTACTACTTATTATGTGTGGGAGAGTCTATTACAATAGAATAGGTAATGTTCTGTTATAACAAAATGATTGACTGCTCTGAGTGAAAATTTTTAGACAACATTAAATTTATTTTCCGTACACCGTAAAAATTGGTATTAGTTATAAAAGTTCAAATATGCAAAAATAGCTTTCATTTTCTTTTCGGTATGATAAACAACTGAAGATCAGCCTGATCCTACTGTTACTGTTAATTTATTTTATTTTTCATAATCAATAAACAAGATTACTGTAATAGTTAAATGGGTTTCTGTTCCAATTATTACGATCATGTCTTTGTAATTCGCACAAATAATATGACTAAAACCAAAAACCTTTTGGTGCTACTTGGCATAGGCGTTCAGAAAGCGGCTTGACTAATCATGAAAATTTAACTTGTTTCTTGCCAGATATTAAGGAAAAACTTTTGTTGGTTGTTCAATCACGCCACGGTTCTAACGAAAGGTTAAGAATATGAACTTCGAGATTGCTGATTAATTAAATACTTTGGCAAATATATTATGATTTAATTGTTTATGTAACCTGTGATATTAAATGATTAAAACATTGATTTAGTCTAAGGATTCCAGGCGCGGGAAATTCTGGCGACAAGCAAATATTAAAACAGTAATCTGACATGTAAAGCTTGCGTGAGGTTTAGTTTAATGCGTTAGTCGTGTTTAAGTAGATACAAAAATTGTCTAGTTGCCTGTTCCTTGCCTTTTGTCATGCCACAGGTATCAAGGAATAAGCCTTGCTTTTTCTCTTCTTTTGTTTTTTCTTTCTCTCCTTATCTTCTTTCATTCCTTCTTTCTTTCATTTTCCTTTTAGCGCAGTGGGATCCTGGAGATACGTGTCTCCTGCAATTAGAGATTATATTTTGGGCGGCAAAATCCTGTTGAACTCGATATCCGCAGACAAAGTTCGTGGGTGGTGTGGTTGGTTGGCTGATTTTAAACGTCAAACGTTGTTGGGTTTATTTAATGTTGAATTCTATGCGAGGCACCCAGTGAGAATCGAACTCGCTGCTCAGTCTACAAGATTAGCTTCCGCTAAACCCATGTGAATTTGTTTGTTTACTTTTTCTTTTTTTCTTTTTTTGTCTGTCCGTGTTTTTGTATGTTTTTTTTTTTCTGGTGGGGGGGTGCTTTGGGAGAAAAGATGGGGTAATTGTTTCGCTCTTTCACGAACCTGTAAATACTTTTCTCTTATGTCACTCTCTACCGTCTCCTCCTCTTTTCAATCGCTCTTGTTTTCACTCTCCTCTTTCACTCTCTCTTTGATCTTCTCTCTCTCTCTTTCCTTCTCTCTGTCATTCACTGTCTTCCCTCTCCTCCTCCTCCTGTTTTCCTCCTACCATCTGTCTCGCCCTCTCGTATTTACTCTTTTTTTTTAAATCCTTTTCTTTATTCTTTTTTTCTTTCTGTCATTCTATTCTCTTCTCACAGGTTTCTTTTAATTTTACCTCAAATTCTTCTTCTTCTTCTTCTTCTTCTTCTTCTTCTTCTTCGTCTTCTTCTTCTTCTTCTTCTTCTTCTTCGTCTTCTTCTTCTTCTTCTTCGTCTTCTTCTTCTTCTTCTTCTTCTTCTTCTTTGCTTCCTTCTTCCGTTCTTCTTTCTTTCTCTCATTTTATCTTTCTTTCTTTCTGTCCCTCTCTTTATTCATACCTTCTTTCTCTCTTTTTCTTCTTTCCTTCTTTCTTTTGCACTTTTCTTCTTCTTCTTCCTTCCTTCTGCACTTTTTCTTCTTTCTTGCTTTTTCTCTTCTTTTGTTCTTTCTTTCTCTCCTTGTCTTCTTTCATTCCTTCTTTCTCTCATTTTCTTCCTTCTTCCGCGTTCTTTTCTTCTTTCTTTCTTTCTTCCTCTTTATTGCTTCCTTTATTCCTTCTTTCTCTCTTTGAGTTCTTTCATTCCTTCTTCCTCTCTTTTTCTTCTTTCGCCCTTCTTCCGCATCTTTTTCTTCTTTCCTTCTTTCTTTCTCTCTTTCCTCTCTTTCTCTTCTATCATTCTTTCTTTCTCTCTATTTCTGATTTCCCGTCTTCTACCGCACTTTTCTTTGTTCTTTTTTTTTCTTCTTTTCTTTTTATGTCTTTCCTCCTCTTAATTTTTCTTCTTTCATTCCTCTTCTGAATCTTTTTCAAATTTCCTCTGTTCTCTTCGTCTTTCTTTTTTTTTTCTTCCGCTTGTTTCTTAGTTCTTTCTTTCTTCCTTTTTCTTGTTCTACTCTTTCCTTCTTTCTTTCTTTCCTTCTTTCTTTCTTTCTTTCTTTCCTTCTTTCTTTCTTCTTTTTTCTCGCTTATCTCATCGTCCCTCTTGTTATTCTCCTCTTTCCGTTTGCCTCTCTTTATTTTTCTCCTTTCTAACGTTTCGCTTTCTCTCTTTTTTTTCTACGATCTTCTCATTCTTTTTAAATGTTTTTCTATCGTCATTGTCTTCCGCGTATTCAACTCCCCGCCTCTCTTCCCACCCTCCAATTGTTTCTTTCAATCTCGTCTTCTTCACATCACCCACTCAATTTTGCTCTCCTTTCTCTTCACCTCTTCTCTCTCTCTCTCTCACAGTTGGATGCCAGGAGACTTTCTAAATGCTGTTAATTGCATTAATTTTCCTGTTCAATCCTTAAACACGTGACAAAGGCACTTTTACTTTCACTTTCATTTTTGTTCTGGGTTTGTTTTTTTTTATTTTCCCTTCTTTTTTACGCTTTTTTTTTTCTCATGGGGCCTTTAGTTTCCTTATTTTTATTGTTTTGTCACGCTAACTACATTGGCCTCTCTCCTTTTGCTGCGCCGACGATTAGTCCTGCAGCCCCTCTTAGGATCGTTAATGCATGTGTCTCCGGTGATAGCTCATTGGGCAAAGTGCAGAGTTCCAATTCACTAGGTCACCTGTTCAGCCATTTGGTTCAGTTTTAGTCAGAAACGGGAATTTTCAATCTACGGATGTTAAACAGCTGACAGTAGGCCATAGTAAACCTTTGTTAACATAGAGCAGGATATTAGAAGGCGGCAGTAGAAAGAAGGGCGTTGCTGGAGAGTAAGAGAAAGAAAAAGTGAGCAAGAGATGAATAAGAGAGGGGAAATCAGAGACAGAAAAGTGGGGAGAGAGAGAGATAGAAAGGAAATCAAGAAAAGAAATAAAGGAAGAAAAAGAGAAAAAAAAATATTTTGAAATTGAAATAAGAATTGATAAAGATGGAATATGTTCGATTTGTTAATGAGTCAGAACCGCTGCCCTCCAAGTAACAGTTTCTACTGGTGTTTAATAGTTTGGATTAAGGTTAAGATTTTGGATTAAGATTAATGGTTTGGATTAAGATTAAGATTTTGGATTAAGATTAGTGTTTTGGATTAAGATTAAGATTTTGGATTAAGATTAATGGTTTGGATTAAGATTAAGATTTTGTATTAAGATTAATGTTTTGGATTAAGATTAAGATTTTGTATTAAGATTAATGGTTTGGATTAAGATTAAGATTTTGGATTAAGATTAATGGTTTAGATTAAGATTCGTTGGTCTGAGTGGGAAAATTTTTAGACAACATTGTATTTATTATATTTTTAGGAGGGCGGTCTTATCTATTCTTTGTTTTCTATTTTGTTTTCTTTTTTTTTGCCATTTTTTCTTTCTTTTGTTTTGTTTTGTCTTTTGACTAGTCGAATAGCAGTTAGTGAGATAAATCTTTTTTTATTAAAATTGACAGATCCAAAAAAAACTATAAGAGACCTGTTCATTTTAATGATCTTTTGTTTATTGTTCACCCAATACAAGGCGAAAGTGCCACTCAAAATAGATAGTTAACGAATGCGCTTGTTTCATCGACGTAAGAAGTGTAGATCATATGGAGAATAGATAATGGCTGACCTTGGACTTGAAGAAATGAAGATTGCAGTGGGCATATCAACCTGTCATAAATGAATGGAATCGTCCGTTTATGTAAATAAGCGGAAGTGACGAGAGTTATAGCATTAAGGTCTTAGCCGCGCGCTAAGCTTTTGGTGCTTGTCGAACTCTCTGCCTTCGAACAGAGAGGAACCAAGACGAGGCTATACCGAATGGCAGCGTCGCGTCTAGGAAGGGAGACAAATCCGACCCCGTTATTACAGGGTCTACGGTGAATATTTGCCCGGGCCAACGGGCTCAGAAAAACCTACGTTAAATCGTCCTTGTGCCACATCCCGCTCTGTGGGGAGCTCGGGTAAATGACGATTTAGCATTAGGTCAATTGCTAAGTGTACCTTCGTGTAGTAAACCTTCTATTTCATTACTTACCTACGAGTTTGTCTTCCTTATTTATTTCCCTTTGCTATCTCGAAAATACGAGATACAACAATGACTCAATCTAATATTTGTGTGCCTGAATCTATGCTGTTACCATATTCAAACGACAAGGTCTATTAGCTTCATTTTTATATAAAAACTCATGAACTTTCCCTAATGAAAACCATATTCAAGAATTTGTCAAAAGCTTTTCTACATCAAAATCTACGGAATTTTATTCAAAAGGTATTGAAAAACTGTCTGTTAAGTGGCAACAAGTTGTTACGAATAATGATGAATACGTAATTGAATAAAATGTAATAGCACTATTTTTTTAAAGAATAAAGTTGATAGTAACTGAAGTGTTAGAAAAAGCTATCAAAGAGCTGTCAGATAAGTAGCAATAAGTCCCTGCAAATAATGGTGAATATATAATTGAATAAAATGCAATTGTATTTTATTTTTTTGAAGAATAAAGTTGATAAACAAAAATGAACAATTACTTATGACTGTCAAATAGGACATAAATGAATGGAATTGTCTGTTTACATAAATAAGTGAAATTAAGCAAAGTTGAGCAGTGTTAGCATTAGGTCAATTGCTAAGTGTACCTTCGTATAGTAAACTTTCTATTTTATTACTTACCTACGAGTTTGTCTTCCTTATTTATTTCTCACTGTTATCTCGAAAAAACGAAATACAACACAACCTCAATGGGTTATTTAATGCCGACAAGATCTTTAGAATAGGTTCGTTGGAATAGAATATATATTCTTTGTAAGAAATCAGTTTTCTAGTTCAGGTTTCAGTGACGTATTTTTGTAAAGTCATATGCATTGCTGGTATTTTTTTTTCAAAAATGTATTGCTGGTATTTTTACTATAAAAATCTATTTTTATCCTTTCATATTATTCTGATACCAATTTTGGTGCTAACTATTTACCCATAGTTGGGACCCTATCAGGTGCTACCACCCTAGGTTAGTGTGGACCTGAGAACAACATCAATTGAGGGGTGGTTCCACGCTCCTCAAAACCTCCCAATCAGAGACATTGCTGTCGGGTGTAGTTTATCGTCATACCCAGGACGGGCAGTGGCCAAGGAAGCATCAAAGCGAGAGTTCGTCCTAAAAGCAGCGATCTTTGAAAATTAGCTCTTCGAATGGAACTTCTTTCTTACCGATAGAGTGCGAAGAGAATAAGGAGGGTTTGCCCCTCTGGTGGGCCTTAGATGTAAAGGTCTGAACTTATAACACGAAGGAATGTAACGCGTCAGAGAATTTACATGAAAATTGTAGCTTGTAACGTTACGTCAGTATGAAAAAGGGTTATAGACTGGAAAGTCATCGCCTACAAAGCCACGCATTGAAAGTCATCGCCTACAAAGCATTTGAATTCTGCCATAGAAAGAAAAAGAATGTGCAGTTCCAGCGAAGATATGTCAGCAATATTCTAATTTTCTTCTGTTCTGGCACTTGTAGAGATAGGATGTAGCATGTGGGGTTAGGTGCTTTCTAGAGCGTGAACCAACCATTTTTCCAGCATCTTTAGCAATAGAGCGGATATATGAGTTCCACTTGAGGTCTGGGGTGAGATTGAGTCCCAATAGACGTTCAAGGGAAACTAGACCCCTTAAGAGAACACCCATCTATCATTCCATCATCCTTAGCAGTAGATCGGATATATGAGTTCCACTTGAGGTCTGAGGTGAGATTGAGTCCCAATAGACGTTCAAGGCAAAGGAGACTCCTTAAGAGAACACCCATCTATTTCTTATCATCTTTAGCAATAGATCGGATATAAGAGTTCCACTTGAGGTCTGGGGTGAGATTGAGTCCCAATAGACGTTCAATACAAGGAAACACCTTAAGAGAACACCCATCTATCATTTCAGCATATTTAACAATAGATCAAATATGAGAGTTCCACTTGAGGTCACGGGTGGGCTTGAGTCTCAATAGACGTTCAAGGCAACGAGTCTCCTTATGAGAACACCCATCTATCATTCCATCATCTTTAGCAATAGATCGGATATATGAGTTCTACTTGAGATCTGGGGTGAGATTGACTCCCAATGGATTTTCAAATCATGGAGCAACCTTTGAGAAGACAACCATCCCTTGTGTCTGGTCCGTTGACTTTTGTTTTGTTTTTTTTTTGTTTTTGTTTTGTTTTGATTTTTTGTTTGTTTGTTTTTTGCTTGCGGCTAACAATGATTGTTTTTCAGATCGTTATAGTCTACGACTATTGAAATAAGAAGTGTGAGTTTGAAATAAATAAATATGACGAGCATGAGGGAAGTCAATCCTGGTAATACGCGTGACATTGACGTCGCCATCAATGATTTGACTTAGCGGCCAGGCGACACCAAATCTATCTGTCTCTCTATTTACCTACCCGCCCAACACGGTACTAGCATGGCTCACAAAGCCCGTTTTTCAAGACGAGTGCTGAATGCCAGCTGCCACTGTCAGGCTAGAATTGGAATCCTCCAGCTTTATTTCAGTGGGGGGGGGCTCTACCGCTAAGGTCGAATCTTTGCAACTACGCATATCTTATTGTAAATTACTGAAAGGTGAAAACACGCCACCAATAAACCACACCGATGTATAGTAATACGACAGTGAAGAACATATACTACACTCTGATCTCGAACAGGAGGTCAGAGAGTTACTTATTAAAAGTTTTAGGTCTGAAGAGATGAATATATAGAGATATCCACGAAATAAATTATAACCAAAAGTAATCTTTAAGGTTTTCTTCTTCTTCTTCTTCATTATTATTATTATTATTATTATTATTATTATTATTAATAATAATAATAATAATAATATAATAATAATAATATGCTCTGTATTTTACATTGAGATCTCTCTGGATTAATATTCCCCTTGAATTATCCCTACCAGTCACAAATTCGTTATACACACACACACACACACACACACACACATATATATATATATATATATATATATTAAAGAAAAACAGACCACTTTAAGGTACCATTATGATAATTTATTTCACCAGAACCCTTTTAAAGAACGCCGGATCATCAGATAGCACTTCCAAAATTGAAATGAAACGAAAAATGAAATTAAAATTGATGGGTGCTCTCAGGATTTCATCCTCCTTGGGATTACCCATACGGATTACCAAGTTCTTCATAACAATTATACATACATATATATATATATATATATATATATATATATATTTTATTGGATTAGATGTAATGATGTTCAATATTTATCGATACTGCCTCCAAGTTTCGTAATTTTCTCAATCGCTCATCGGAACTTTCGAAACTCGGCGTCTATATCGATAAGTATTGAAGGTTATTATATCTAATTCAATATTTATTGATCTCGTCAAACATTAGGCACTTTATAAGCAGAAACTCTTTAATATACGTTAATTTATATAATTTACTTATATTAATAGCTAGCTCTCTCCCGACCGACCTCCCTCTGTGTGTGTGTTTTGTGTGTTTGATGCTAGCTATGATTCTAGCTATTATTGATATTCTAGGTTTAAATAGAAACGCATACTCAATAAATACAGTTTCCATAAAAATGCATCTACGAACCCTTAGAGTCCCTCATCATGGCGGAAAAATAGCCAAAAAGTACGAGATTTCATCAGTAGAATAATATATGCGCAAAGCAAGCAGTTTTACCAAAAACGTCTAACATCAGATTATTTTCCGTGTCCGAAAATTCCGATTTTTCCCGATCTTTTCTCATCTGGTCCAGTGTTCCAGTAATATACAACAAATATTATTATTGTTGCCTTCTCGAATTTCTTTCATCCGTCTATTATAGCTACAAACATATATCTCTATCTCTCTCCCTTTCTCTATCTCTCTCTCTCCTCTCTCTCTCTCTCTATATATATATATATATATACGTGTGTGTGTGTGTGTGTGTGTGTGTGTGTGTGTGCGTGTATAGAAAAATAGGCAAGAACACGTTAGGTAAATAATCCAGGGTTTTTTAGTATTTTTATTTTTATTTTTTTTAAATTGCTCCATACAGAAGTAGAGCTTAGATTATTATTTTTTTTTTAAAAATATGATTCTTTCGCTACATAAGAGTTCTCATGTTTCAAAAAAGGAGAGCCGAAACCATCAATATAATTATTAAAATTAAATTGAATTGAAGTAACAAGCTCTGTTTCATCCTCAATGAAACAGGGCTAGTTACTTTAATTCAATTTAATTTTAATAATTATATTGATTGTTTCAGCTCTCGTTATATATATATATATATATATTAGGAAAATTAATAAGAAAGTGAAAAAATTTTGTGTGATGCTGGAGAGCTCATTTCCAGTATTTTCTTGGGTGCGCAGACCAATAGGCATAATACGTACTGTTTAAAATGAAAAGGGACGTTGATTTCAAAAAAATAACGTTTGAAGTATT